TCGAGTAAAGGCAGATGTGCAATTTTTTGTTTTATTTTATTAAATTTTATTTTAATTATGCGCGTCGCACTTAAAACAACGTGTTTTGCGTAAACATATATATATTTAATCATTTTAATAATTTTAATCAAAGTTTAAAAATTTTAATTTTTTGTTTTATAGCCACCGTGAAAGATGTGTGGATATAGCCATAGATAGCACTAATTATATTAGTTTTTAGATAACTGTAGCTTTTTTAGTAGGTCGACCTGAAAAGGTAATATTTTACGTAAGCCCGAAAACGGGGTGTTGTAATCACACACACACACATGCAAATACATACACACACACACAAACAAGCACGTGTCATCCCAAAAAAAGATGGACAAATTCTCATCTCTGGATGAACAAATTAAACTGAACACACCCGTCCAGGGAGAAGTCGCGTTCACAAGCAAGCGGACAAAGCTTAAGAAACATGCGTGAACGCGATCGAGAAGAAGTCAAAAAAAGTAATCCATGGATCTTCGCTGCGAAAAGACGCGTTTCGTGTTCGGCGTTGCGAAAACCAAAGATCCTGGCACTGAGTACGCGAGTATGCACGACAAGCATACAATTAACAATCGCGGAGTTATTGTAATTAGTTTAACACGTTCACGCCGGGGCCGATTTTTATTTGTTTTGCTATGAGGCGGCGCTGAAATTAATATCGCGCTTCATCTGGCGGCGCGTGATTATTGCCTGTTCAGACCTGCATACGCGTTGTTTGTTGCTCTGCAGTACAGTGAGATCTTATTGTGCAAGTTTTGTAACTCGTGCCGTTTTTTCATCCTGACCACAAATTTCCGACAGTAAGTATAATTAGAAAGGTGATTAGAATGTTTTTTTAATTTTTACCCTTATAAAAAATAGATAACATGGATATGAAAATAAGTGATTCGGATGAATATATAATTAGAAGCAGGAGAAAAGCGGCAAGATTACGAATACTTTCTTCCTCTTCAGACGAGGATTTTGTTAATGTTATCAATGAAGAGAACGAATGTTCCACGGAGGAAGAATATTTGATTTCTAAATCAGAGAACGAGGATCACGATGAAGAATGGCAGGAAGTAAAAGAAAGAACCGTAGTAATAAATGAGTATTCAGAAGAAGAGGAATTTTTACATAAAAATATTGACTGTAATGACCCTTTTGCCTTATACAAACTATTCTTCACGGATCACATACTAGAGAATATAGTTGATGAAACAAATAAATATGCTACTCAAAGTATAAATAATTCTTCATCTAGCAGTAGAATACACCAGCAGGACTGGCAGTCTGTTACAAGAGATGAAATGAATACTTTTTTTGGCATATTGCTTATTATGGGTATTGTGCAATTGCCAGAAATTAGATTGTATTGGTCAAACAACGACATGTATGCGAACGCACGCATAAAAAAGGCAATGAGACGTGACCGTTTTCTATTTTTAAGTTTTTACATTTTTCGGACGATACCACAGCCAGAACTGAAGATCGGTTGCATAAAATTCGAAATATTATTGAAGCAATTGTAGATAATTTCAAGAGTTCTATAAAACCAGGCAAAAATATTGTTATCGATGAAAGTATGGTCCCCTGGAGAGGACGTCTAGGCTTTCGCCAATACATCCCAGGCAAGCGACATAAGTATGGCGTAAAAGCATACAAATTGTGTTTGCCTGAAGGTTACACTTATAATTTCGAAATTTATGCCGGGAAAAATGGAACGATCATTGAAAAATCACATTCCCATGACGTAGTAATGAGATTATTAAGTGGCTTATTATTTGAGGGCCGCACACTATTTATTGATAATTATTATACAAGTGTCCCTTTGGGTGAAGAGCTTTTAGAGAAAAATACATTTTTTTGTGGTACTGTAAAAATGAACAGAAAAAGTCTACCACCGCAGGCAAAAAAAAAAACAAAAACGTGGTGAAATGATAAGCTTTGAAAATCGTAGCGGTGTAAAATTTTTGAAATGGACTGACAAAAGACAAGTTTGCATGTTAACTACCTCAAAGAATCACCAGTGTAAATTTGTGCAAGGAACAAATGGCCGAGTAAAGCCCGATGCTGTGTTTGATTACAATATTGCAAAAAAAGGTGTCGATTTATCAGATCAACTATCGGCGTACTACAGTTGTTTACGAAAAACCATTAAATGGTACCGAAAAATAATAATACAATTAATATGCGGAACTTCCCTCGTGAATGCGTGGTATATTCATAAAAGATGGGGCACTAAAAATATGACTATGTTAAGATTTAGGGAAGTTATTATCGATAATCTTTTGTCCAATGAACAAATATGCCGTTATATACCGTCACATAAACACGTTCTTCAATCATATGAAGGATCGACAAGAGACACCCGTAAACGCTGCAAGGAATGCTATAAAAATATGTCCAATAAAAAGAGCAGAGCTTATGCAACTAACAATACTAAAAGAGTTAAGACGTATTGTGGGCTTTGTGAGGGACAGCCAGCACTTTGCTTGAAATGTTTTAACAAATTACACAAAAAACAATAAATAATGCAGTTATAAATAAAACAATATTAGATTTTATGTTATTTTAACCGTATTTGAATTTTTTGTATAATACTGTATTATTATGTTTATGTTATTGAACAAAACTTATGTTTCTGATACATTATTGATTATAATTATTATTAAAAATAAATGTTTTTAATGAATAAACGTTAAATTTTCATTATTTTAATTCTCAGGGTCTAATAGTCTAATAATTCAGAACATAATCGAATGCGTACCGCCGGTGACCCGCGCCGCCCGATAGGACAGTTTAGTGCGGGTCACCGGTGGGCCGCGCCGCCCGATAGGACAGTTTAGTGCGAGTCACCGGTGGGCCGCGCCGCCCGATGAGACAGTTTAGTGCGGGCCACCGGTGACCCGCGCCGGCGTGAACGTGTTAAGGTCATTTTTTGTTAAAATAGAAGTAGTATTTATAATATTACACAAGTGAGTAATACTTACCTTTCCTAAACGATCCTTTCCCTGGACGTAGATCCTGAAAAATAAAGGGCAGAAAGGCATTTTAGACAGGAAGAAAGGACGATGCTGCTAAGCCGTCCCTAAACATGCACCTGGCGACCGTGAAAAGAGTAAGTACTCTAACAAAAAGTGTTCTATTCTCCGGCCACAACCTAACCTTGTCACCGTCGTCAGCTGGGGCCACTCCCGTCGTCGGCGAGATGGAGGCGGCTTTGGTGGACCGGTTGTTGGAACGGTCAGGGACAGAGACGAACGTCTTGTTCGACACCGCGGTGGCGGGACCGTCTTCAGAGGACGTGTGGATGCGGTGCCAGGAGAGTAAAAACGGTGGAACGGAGTCGGAGTCCAGCACCGATTAAAGGAAAAGATAGAAGTCAAGAGGCAATCAGCCATAGACAATTTTTTGTTATATATATATAGAGCGAGCGCAAGCTACTTGCACAGGTTATTGACACATGTATGTGTCTGCAATGAATCAGTTTTGATTATTTTATGTTTATAGTAATTTAAGCGCTCGGGGTGCATAAGGCCCATGTTAGATCTGATCAAAAGTTAAAAGTTTTGTTTTTTAGTTTTATTGTTTATTTTTGTTTTATAGAATTATTCCTACTAGGTTAGGAGTTACCCGCTAAACTGACATTTCACGATATTAACAAAATTTGTATAATTAATAATTTCAGTGGTGAGTAAAACTCNTGGGATTGAGTTACTTACGCGTGTAAGACGCGGGGTCAAAGTTTGAGCCAAAATTCAAAATTTAAAAAAAAATTGGGTTAGGGGACTAACTTTCCGATAACAGGTGATTTTGTGTTAACTTGTTGGTTACGACAAGAAAACTCAAACCTGAAAGTAACGTAAGCGATTTGGTTAGTAAATAAAGGTTTGGAATAGTACTTACCTGCGTTGAGGTTTTCTACATAGTCCGGGTGGGTCCACGTCATCCTAANGATCCGGCGGTAGTCACCTNAAACAAAAAAGAGGNTTANTAAAAATTTTGGTTAATTTGAATTATTGGCCATACTTGACCAGTAGACTAGACTTGTGTGGTGAAGACAACTGGTAGATTTTAGTCACAATTGAAATTGTTAGTTTTGTTTATCNTAACTCAGACAATTGTTAACAAACACAGAATTGACATGTATTTAACCGAGACAAGACATGAACTCCACGCAAGAGGGAGTATTGTAAGGTAAAAATGTGTTAAGAAAGTGTGAATGTAATATTCACAACAGCCAGGCAAATCAACCGAGGTATAGTGCGATACCAGGAAACGATTAGCTCTTTTCGAGAAGAAAAATAAAAAAAATAAGGTAAAATTTTTCGAGTTGTTTTGGGCTGTCCGAGTGTTTGGAGCGGTTTTCGGACGAAGTTGCAGAGTTAGACTTTTCACGAGGTAACCAGGGCTTAATATCGCCCGAGGTAAACAGATGCAATTGTAGCAAAAATTATGCGAACGTACTGTTTTAGTGCAAATTGGACNATCATGCGGCTTTCGCGCACAATTTGGTTTTTGGCTAGTCTAACCGGCCGTAAACTCAAAGTGTTAGGTGTTCACAAAATTTCAGTTGTTGACGAAACTTGGTGAGTGAAAAAGATTTCAGAAAAAAGGGTGAGTTGCAAGATTTCGCACAGAGTTAGGATGTTAGGTACTAACCTTGACTCGGTGAGAAAAAACCTAACCCTGGGATAAAACGTAGTTATGCAAGATGTTGTGCGTATGGAACAGTTGGCGATTGAGAAAACACCATGCAAAGTTTCGTCAAAAAGTTAGTGTGTTAGGTACTTGCCGCGAGTGTGCAAATCAAAACCTAACTCTGAGTGAAAGTGCAGTTGTTGGCGAAACTGCGTCAGCAACCAGTTCTGCGCTAGAATAATTGCCTCACAAAGTTTCGCCAAAAAATGGGTGTGTTAGGTACTGTTACGTCCTGGCCCACAGTTACGGTCGGGCTATGGTGGAGTAACAGAGAGCTGTCGTTTCTCTGTCTATCTCCGCACAGCAGGTTGGCGATCCTGCTGGAACAGAGTCGAGCGAGTTTGCTTATGTTTGTTGACAGGTCAACGGCGTACGCCGATCTTACTCTGTCTTACGAACACTCAATCGTTGGTCTCTTTTCTAGTCTGAAGAATTAACTCCACGGACTAAGGACGAGACCGTGCAATCAATTGAAGATGTGGAATGATGAGAGGTCGACTTAATTAAACGGAGAAATTATGATACATATGATATTAATTTATTTATTTAATGGGTGTTAGGATTACAATTTTGAGATGTGTATTCGTGTGGATGAATGTGGTATCGCGAATTTTACATTGAAACGGAGGGTCATCGCTCGGAGGCTAGAGAGGGGGAATATATATATATATATATATGTGTGTAGATGCGTGACGCGAAGTGTGTGTGAGGGGTTTTACAGGTGTAACTGTGTCGGTAGCATGTTTAAGACGCCGATTCGTGGGATAGAAATCACTCAAGGATTATTTCTATTATTTCCTGGATTTTTGCGGAACTTGGAGGGAACATTGTATAAAAATGGTGGACGGGAACTAAACGGATATCATCTATATAAAAGAATTTAACTAGGAGGAGTTTTCTAGCTAAAGTGGTGGTTATTACCGGGAAGATTTCGAAAGGATCTGTAGTTAGAGGGTCGATTATAAAGGGGATTCTTTCCGGATTTGCTTTTTTATAGGTGGAGGCTAATCGGAGAAAGTGTTGTAATCTAGGATCGAGCAGAGGGGTGGTTGATCGTGTCGACTCGGAGGATTCATCGTTCGCGGGTTCAGGGGTAGGAGAGCGAGGAGGNGGTGGAGGAGTCGGCGCGAATTGCAGATCCGCGGGATTTTCTGCGGGATGAGCGGGTTCGGAGTGCGTAGGAGAAGAGGAGCGAAGAGGTGAAAGGGGCGGATTGTTCACAGGCGAACAAGGGAAGGATTGAACGTCTGCGGGAGGATCGGGAGTTATTGGTGAGTAGGAAGGAGCGTCATACCACGAATCGTCGTGTGTATGTGTGTTTGTGTGTGCGTTGCAAATGCGTCGGTGAGTGTAAGTGCGCGTGCGATTCAGTTGTATGTATATCGGTGGGTTTCTCTATTCTATTGTCGCCGCTGGAATCGTTTCTTAATGTCTGAGGGGTGGCGTCAATGGGCCTGGTCGGCTCCGCTT